ATCTGGGAAAGGGGATGAGATGTGGGGACGCAGGAACCTTTCTGGTCCCTTCACACCTATAGTAGCTTCACACAGGCATATTCCACTCTCTAGGTGGAATATAAAGACATATAGTCTTGGTATAAAATGGTGGGATGGAGATAGAAAGCGAGGGGAAGGGCAGGTTACCCCCCCAGCGCAGGGGAAGGAGAGCAGCACAGTGCTGCACCCCAGGAGGCAGCCCGGGCCCTGAGCAGAGGCATTCCCTGGCATCCTGCTCCCCCCACTCCCACTGCATACAGGGCCGGCAAAACCAACCCGCAGGCAAGGCAACACATCCTTAAAACATGAAAACAAAACGAGCTTAATTATGAAAGGGAAAGCGAGGTACAAGCCCTGGCTCTCTATTTTCCCAGCAAGTCACCCCAAAGCAAAATAACGGAAAGCTATCCCAGCCCCTTCCTTTCCCGGGGTATGATCAACCACCACCGAAGTCCTGAGCCAGGAGCAAACCCGGGAAGGGCAGCGCAACCACGGTTTGCAATTGAAGCCTTTACCTGCTGTAATTATCCTTTCAAACTAATAACCCCTGTGTTGTTTATCAATGTCTGTATCTGTTGCCAGATTTCCCTGTGGTCCCTCTTGGTGACTCTGGTGATCCTGTTCATCCTGACCGGGACCATGCTGGGCCCAGACCTGATGGCACATATTCCTGCGTCTGTCTATGCCATTGCGGTGCTGATGCCTCTAGCGGGGTATGCCTTGGGATATGGCTTAGCCACGGTCTTTAAAATGCCCCCACACTGCAGGAGAACAGTGTCTTTGGAAACAGGGTGCCAAAACGTCCAGCTCTGCACCGCCATCCTAAAACTCACCTTCCCCCCAGAGCTCATAGGGAGCATGTACATGTTTCCCTTGCTTTACGCGCTTTTTCAGTCGGCAGAAGCGGGACTCTTTGTGCTGGTGTACAAGATGTACGGGAGAGACAGCTACAAACAAGATACACTCGGTGAAGAGGAAGACACGGATATTTCCTACAAGAAACTGAAGGAAGAGGAGGTGGCTGATACTTCGTACGGCACAGTGACCACAGAGGAGCACAACTCCGCTGAGATGGAGCTGACACAGACGGCGCTTTAGGTGAGATAAGGAGGTGACACCCGGAGACATGCGATGTGTGTTGTGCTTGCGACCAGGCTGAGGCCATGCTCGCCGCTGCGCAAGCGGAGCTGCTCAGCCTCCATCCTTTCTCCAGCTGCTCCCGTTGTACAAAGTGATGTGTGTTTATTACTATGACAGTTGTATTTCCTCAAAAATACATAAGAAAAAAAAATGTAAAACCCAAAAAAGTATCACTGCGATGCAAACCAGTAACCATACAACTTCACGCAAGGAGGCTCCTGCCCACCCGAGTGCAACAGGAATGGGTACGAGGAAGGAGGCCAGCGTTTTGCAGAGGCAAAACCAACGCGGCACGGTGCCGGCGCAGACGAACGGGCAAACCACCTTGCACACGCGTTACCTCCGTGCCTCCCACCCGCTGTAAAAGCATTGTGCTCGTTGTTCTCACCACAAATACATGGCAAACTGAACCAAACCCGTGTTCCCCGCTGATTAATCCCGCAATTAGGGGCCGCGCTGTCTGGTTCCCTGGGGGAGCTGTGCCGGGGGGGCGGGGGATGCCCTGCCC